AGATCGACAACCTCGTCGTCTCGGTCAAGAACCCCGAAAAGGGCCTCGTCATTGTGGCAGACAAGGTCAGGTCGAGCAAGACTGCTCGCGATGCCAACGGATCTGTTTCCACGTCTGCGCAGGTCGAGCAGGGCGCCGTGGTCAAGGGTCGCGTCATTCAGAAGAACGAAAAGTACCTCGACTGTGTCGTTGCGCTCGGCACCGCCACGCGCGCTACGCTTCACATCACTGATCTTGCTGACGACTTCGCCAGCGGCGTCTCGCTTCCTCCTCCCGGAGACAACATCGACTGCTTCGTGGTGTCGCTCAAGGCCAACGGCAAGAGCGGTGTGGTCTCGACGCGTGCCTCGCGCATCTCGCCCTCGAACGCCGAGGTGACCGATGCCGAGATCACCGCCATCACCGAGCTGACCAAGGGCCAGAAGGTGCGCGGCTTCGTCAAGGCGATCACCAACGTCGGTGTCTTCGTCTCGCTGGGCCGCAAGCTCGATGCGCGCGTCCAGGTGCGTGAGCTGTTCGACGAGTTTGTGCGCGACTGGAAGAAGCGCTTCACCGTCGGTCAGGTGGTCAGCGGAACGATCATGGACGTCAACGCCAACCAGAACGAAATTGAAATGTCGCTCAAGAGCACGCCCGGCAGCATCAAGCCGCGTGCCGAGCGCGCACAGGAGCGCGCCGAGGCCGACGGCAAGAAGCGCCCCAAGCGTCTCACCGACTTCAAGGCCGGTGACAAGGTCAAGGGCTTCATCAAGAACATCATCGACTTTGGCGTCTTCGTCCAGATCGAGGGCACCAACGTGTCGGGTTTGGCGCACATGAACGAGCTCAGCGACGGCAAGGCCGACGAGGCGCTCAAGGCGTTCCGTGTGGGCGACAAGGTGCGCGCCATCGTGCTCAGGATCAACGAGGAGAAGAGGAAGATCAGCTTCGGCCTCAAGCCCTCGTACTTTGACGCGGCTGACTTCGAAGACAGCAGCGACGAGGACGAGGACGATGAAGACGAGGACGAGGAGATGGACGAAGACGATGTCGCCGACATCGGCTCTGATGCCGAGGACGACGCGAGCGACAGCGAAGACGACGACGAAGTTGATGTCATCGAGATGGATGAGGACAGTGATTCCGAGGCGGAAGCTGCGCCTTCCAAGTCCAAGACGTCCAAGGTTCCCTCGCTTGCTCTCTCGGGTGGCTTCTCGTGGTCCGCAGGAGCTGGCGACGACGACGCTGCGGACGAGCTGGATTCGTCAGACTCTGACTCGGACTCTGACTCGGATTCTGAATCCAAGGCGGCCGCGCTCAAGAAGGAGAAGGCCAAGGCGCGCAAGTCGCGCAAGGGCGCTGCGCTCGAGGAGGACCTGACTGCGGACCTTGCAACCAAGGCGCCCGAGTCGTCGAGCGATTTTGAGCGCCTTCTGCTGGGCTCTCCCAACAGCTCGTTCCTATGGATCCAGTTCATGTCGTTTGCGCTGCAGCTTTCAGACGTGGACAAGGCGCGCGAGATCGCGCGTCGCGCACTCAAGGTAATCAACTACCGCGAGGAGCAGGAGCGCATGAACGTGTGGATTGCGCTGCTCAACCTCGAGAACACGTACGGCTCGGACGAGACGCTCGAGGCGACGTTCAAGGAGGCTGTGCAGGCCAACGATGGATTCACAATGTACCTCAAGATGGTCAACATCCTCGAGGCCGCCGAGAAGAACGACGCGGCCGAGGAGTTGTTCGTCAAGGCCAAGGCAAAGTACTCGACGACGCCTGATTTCTGGATCGAGTATGCGCGCTACCTGCTGCGTACCGGTCAAGCCGATGCGGCTCGTGCGCTTCTGCCGCGTGCCATGCAGGCGCTTGACAAGCGCGACCACACGAGCACCATCACGCGCTTTGCGATCAACGAGTTCAAGCTCGGCGACGCCGAGCGGGGCCGAACAATCTTTGAGGGACTGGTGGATTCGTACCCGAAGCGCCTGGATCTGTGGTGGCAGTACCTAGACCAGGAGTCGCGACTGGAC